AATGAAACAAAAGCGGCCATGGACAGCTTCGACGACACAGGAATAATGGCTTTGATATGTCGCCATGACATTCCCCTCTTCTTTGCCAAACATCGACACTCCAGGCGAACAGCAAAATATGCCGTCGCCCTTATTGATCACCTTTTTACTTATTACCTCGAAGCGCAACGGTTGTCACTCTGTATGACGTGGGGTGTGTTCTCTCACGATCATTGAGTCAGGTGAGTCAATTCCGTGATTCTTCGAACCTCGTTGCTGATCCGTTTAAGTACAACATACTTCCCGAAGCTGTAACGAAGCGCCCTGCGATTCGCAACCACGGCCATGCATGCCTACGGGCATGAATGGTCGTGCCAACTTGTTTACAACCCACGAATATGCGAAGGCCTTGGCCTTTCAGACGGAGAAGGCACTGAGAGGCTATGGTCCAGGTTTATCCGCTTGATAGGTATCCAGCGCTCTTCATCAGTGAGTATTCTCAAATTTTCGTTTCATTTCTACTGATGTTCGGTTTTCTATAGAGACAGCGTCGGTTATGGCTTCTTGACCGACAGGCTGCCGCTATTGGTCTTGAGATGCGTGCTGACCTTGGAGATTGGATCCGGCGTCGACTTAAACGAGGGATTGACAACAAGGGACAGCTGCACAGACCACACTGGATGAGTGTGATGCAACAGTTGAAGATCTGCGACATCAATGGGCTCTGCAGCGACAGTCACAATTATCCATTCGCGCTCGTTCGTTCAATTTCCTTTTCATCGTCCATCTCTCACTGTATTCTACAGACGCCCCTGCTCGGCTCAAAAAAGAGCTGGAAACTGTGTTTGCCCTACAGGGTGACCTCGATGCATCTGAGAAGGCACTTCAAGCAACGAGCGATGTGATTTCAAAGGGAAATGTATCCCGATGCACACTTGACGCGATTGAGAGCCTGGAACGAAGTCACCAACGCCTCATGGACAAGGTTGACGTCTTATATGCTTCCCTCAACATTCATGACAAATTCCCTGAGCTGGAAGGGATCAACATCGAATTCGTTCGCACACTTCTCTTGGCACGGGACCTGAAGATCAACATCCGGAAGTGTGCAATTGGGAGCTTCTTCGAGTGGGACAAACTCGATCGTGCTGTCGGCGGCACACAACAAGCATTAGGTAGGTGGATAGACTCGCTCGGTAACGCATGTTCACACTTTGCAGGGACCAAACTTCACCAGCAGACCCGAAAGGCCATCTCAAAGCGACAACCAGCCTTGCTGGCTGCACTACGTAAATTCAATGGATACTGCGAGCGCCTTGAAGAACTGTATGAACCAGGTTGTGGTATTCCTCTCCCGACACCTCTCCCTACCAAGCTGAATGAACTCCGCAACGATCAAACATTGATGGAGGACATTTGGATTACGCCTTCGGCGGGTGAGGTTCCTAGTTGGCTAGATGATCAGGATGTCCGTGATGGGATACGCGCGATGTTAAAGCGTGACAGATGCATTGAGGAACAGTGACGGCTTGGGCTAGAAGCTGACAACCTTTGCAGGTGGTTTGGCGATGAACTGGCTGCAATAGAACTTGCTCTGCAGTTGCCTGAGAGTATGTACTATTGTCGATATCCATCTTTAATACATGCACTAATTACTTCACAGATATCAGATTTTCTATCTTACTACGCCAGCGGCGGGGACATCTCCAACATCTTCAAATTCGTTGGTCTAACCCACTTGCATCATCATTACGGTTTGAATCCCGTGCAAAACATGCTGAATCGTTAGCGATGCGGATCTCGGGCACCTCCCAAGAAACTGCGCTTCGCTGGATTCCTCAAACATTGATATCATGCGCCACTCTCCTGGAGGAGGAGGAAGTGGAAGTGGAAGTGGAAGTGGAGGAGGAGGGCAAAGAGGATCCAGAGGTTATCGCTACATCATTCAATCATCCTCCACCCGAACACTTTGCCCTTGGTGACGTCATGAACATTGACACTCCTGACAGCGAAGGTGAAGAGGATATCGATATCCCAACTGAGCCTTGTGCTCTCATCACCTGGCATACTCCCGAGGTAAGCAATCTTTCATTAGCAGATGTTCGCGTGTTCATGGTTTATTTAGCGAGTTGTTGTTGACCCAGTACCACCAATGAATGACACTACTGTCGTTGTCCCTGGGATCATCAGAACCAGGGTGCGTCCCGCCCGTGATGCATTCCCACAGCAAGTTTTTGAACCAAAGGACATCGGGATCCTCGCATCGCCCACTGCACTGCTGAACGATACCCTCATCAACGGTTGTGCAGCGTTGCTTTATTCCGAGTCTCTACAAGTTTCTCCCGCTGTCGAACAGTATGCGATTTTGTCCACTCACGACCTCCCCTGCATTCGGTACAATGCATCAGACGACAGGCTTTGGCGCAACATATCATGGACGGGTTATTGGGCCAAGGACGTGTGGATCATACCGATTCATAGACCCTCGATTGTCGGTCATTGGGTGCTGTGCATTGTGCACCTCCAGAGCAAGGAGATTCACCTATTTGATAGCTTTGCCGAGCAACGACCTTGGAAGAGCGATGTCAAAGTGAGCACCATTTATAGTCCCTCTTTTGTCGTTCATCCAGACTCAACACGTCTAGGATATTATGAAATTGATCGTTCGACTTTTCAACATCGCTCGGCAACATGATCGTGCGTTCAGAGTCAACATCGACTTTGACGGTTGGATTGCACGTCCGCTAATAGTAAGTACGTCGTAAATCGGACATGTACATGTGTTCTGATTCAATCTCAGACAACGGCTGTTCAGACCAATGGCTATGACTGCGGCGTGTGGGTGCTTGCGATGATTGCAGCAACATTGCGTGGATGCCACTCTACGGCTTTGAAGGAAGATAATATGCCTGCATTTCGTCACTACCTTCGTACACTTGTATTATCAATCCCTGCATTCTGATTGTGTAGCTAAATGTATGGATTGAGTCCGCTCAACATCTTCTGAACCTCGGTGTGATAGAGATAAATCGTGCGCGCATGCCATTGCAAGAGGCATCGAGCCATCTTGATGTGTCTATCACAGTCCTTTGCATCAGAGATATAGTCTTGTAATACGTACCACTGTCCCAGCAGCGTGCCAATAGCCTCTTTCAACTCTGTACATAGACCATTCATTCCTCCTGCAGTGTACTTCTGTGCACGTTGTTGCAACTGTTCCTTCTCCAAGCGTGAGTTACGGCCGTGCATGACCTGCACCAGGTTTTCTGTGAAGCGAGCCTCTGCAGCAGTATCAGATGGATGAGGTGTAGCGTAGGGTGGATTAATGTCCCATTGTGGGAGCTCCGATTCATCCAGATTATCTGCACTTTGAGAAGCACAACGATATAGATAACTGTCTGGAAGGGATGTGGTTGCAAGATTGATGAGAGCTTGAGGCAAGGGTGGGAGCTGAGATGATACTGGGGATGGCTTTGACGAGCCTTTGCGGCTGTGTTCTTTGGCGTAGTTCTGTGAACGTCGAAGTCAGCGAGCAGCTATTCCCCTACCGACAACAATGTTGAGATCAAGAATGATGACTATGTACTGTACTATAACGACGTACCTCTTGGACTGTGTGTAGTTCGCCTTCTGTTTGTGTAATGCAGCAGATTTCTCTGTGAGGGTGAGATATTTAGCTTTTCGACCCATAAAGACAGTAGAGAGGTGCAAAGAGTGTATTGGAAGTACATACAATTAGTCTAGTTATTCAAATGGTTGAGTCTACTTGGCTCGAATGCTGGGAGATCTTGGTATCACTAGAACCGGCAAACACTGAGGAATTCAAAAATCATTATCCGGAACGTCTGCATGAAGACCACAGTGGTTGGGACATGTTTTCTATTAGTCGCGAACTGTATCTGAGCACCTATTGGCTGATTACTTAAAGTTGTGTGTGGCAACCTCCGAGGCTCCGCCCCCAATGTGGCAACCTTATGTCAAACAACCTCCTGCGCTTGTCCTGCGCCCCCAAGTGCTCCAGCGCCTCCCACTAAGGTGGAGGATCCCTCAATATTCAGCAACTTTGATGGCCTCTCAAGCCTTCCAAGAGGAGAGTGGTGTCTTGTCATACAGGTAAGTACTCTCAAGCCTTCCAGGAGGAGAGCGGCGTCTTGTCTTGGGATTGATTGCCCTCCCTGCAGTGTCCAAGGCAGTGGGATAAAAGTGGGGACAACGAATCGAAGCTTCTCTTTCCACTCTCTCCTTACCAGACGGGGGACAACGAATCGAAGCTTCTTGTTTCTCTCTCCTTACCAGACGCTTCTCTTTTCTCTCTCTCCTTACCAGACGCTTCACCATTCTACCCATGATTTTGCAAGTCCATTAGAGTTAAGGCTGGGTTATGGTATATCTAAAACAGCCATATTGCGCAAATATGCACATGTCAGATTTGCGCAAAATTGACCCCTCATATTGCGCAAATATGCACATGTCAGATTTGCGCAAAATTGACCCCTCATATTGCGCAAATATACAAATGTCAGATTTGCGCAAAATTGACCCTTCATATTGCGCAAATATACAAATGTCAGATTTGCGCAAAATTGACCCTTCATATTGCGCAAATATACAAATGTCAGATTTGCGTGAAATGGACCCCTCATATTGCGCAAATATACAAATGTCAGATTTGCGCACAATTGACCCCTCATATTGCGCAAATATACAAATGTCAGATTTGCGTGAAATGGACCCTTCATATTGCGCAAATATACAAATGTCAGATTTGCGTGAAATGGACCCCTCATATTGCGCAAATATGCAAATGTCAGATTTGCGTGAAATGGACCCCCCATATTGCGCAAAAATACAAATGTCAGATTTGCGCACAATTGACCCCTCATATTGCGCAAATATACAAATGTCAGATTTGCGTGACATGGACCCTTCATATTGCGCAAATATGCAAATGTCAGATTTGCGTGAAATGGACCCCCCCATATTGCGCAAATATGCACATGTCAGATTTGCGCAAAATTGACCCCCCATATTGCGCAAATATGCACATGTCAGATTTGCGCAAAATTGACCCCCCATATTGCGCAAATATGCAAATGTCAGATTTGCGTGAAATGGACCCCCCATATTGCGCAAATATGCACATGTCAGATTTGCGTGAAATGGACCCCCCATATTGCGCAAATATGCACATGTCAGATTTGCGTGAAATGGACCCCCCATATTGCGCAAATATGCACATGTCAGATTTGCGTGAAATGGACCCCCCATATTGCGCAAATATGCACATGTCAGATTTGCGTGAAATGGACCCCTCATATTGCGCAAATATGCACATGTCAGATTTGCGTGAAATCAACCCCTATGTTGCACAAATATACAAATGTCAGACTTTTTGAAATCAACCTCTCATATTTTGCAAAAATACAAATGTCAGATTTGCACAAAATTGACCCCTCATATTGCGCAAATATGCACATGTCAGATTTGCGTGAAATCAACCCCTATGTTGCACAAATATACAAATGTCAGATTTGTGCAAACTTGACCCCTCATATTGCGCAAATATGCAAGTGTCAGATTTGCGCAAAATCGACCCCTCATATTGCGCAAAAATACAAATGTCAGATTTCCATGAAATTGACCCCTCATATTGCGCAAATATGCAAATGTCAGATTTGCGTGAAATCAACCCCTATGTTGCACAAATATACAAATGTCAGACTTTTTAAAATCAACCTCTCATATTTTGCAATTTGGAATTAGAATGGAGTCACTGGAATCAGTTCAGACATGGTGTGATATATGAGTGTATTATTATGTAAGCTTGCTATTGTGATATGAGTCAAACTGGTATCCTACAGTGAGGTCTTGAGATTTGGTTAGAATTAAAACTAGTGCAAGTCAAGAGGTGTGCATAAGGAAAATCCTACACATAGAGCTTGATATTACTAAGCTTGTAAACCTTAATATACAGCCATCCAAAGTTTCAAAAACACAAGTTCTGAGTTTCTCGATAGTGGCCTAAGAGTCTGTTCGGACATCATTTTCGCCAACCAACTTTGAAATTCCAACGTAGCCCATACAAGACCAAATAGTCCGAGACCAAAAATAATGTCGCGCTGATCATGCTGATACAATATGATAGTGGTCGCTGAGCCTATTGTACAACACAATGCATCCTAACGACCTCAATGCCAAATTTGATCTACTAGACCCACTAGACAAAGATGATGTCGACATCGAAGACAGTGCGGATGAAGATTCCAATTGTGCTGATGCGGTAGACTCCGACCGACTGGACATAAATGAGCTGCACTGGATAGACAAGATGTTCCATGGTGCTGCTCGTGTAGCAATGGCTATTGCTGATGCTGCTGGGCAGGTACTCCAAGGTCACTCGCAAACTCACTACAACAAGCAACCCTATTATACTTCAGCCTTGTCTGTAATGGCATGGGTCAACGAACTCCTCGCACGACATCCAGACCACATACGATGCGAACTTGGCATGCAGCATCATGTATTCTATTGTACTATTGAATATACTTCACGATTCAGGGTGCAGAAATTCAAAACATGTCACACTTGAGGAGCAGCTTGCCATCTTCTTGTATGCATCTGTCACAGGACTCTCTGTTCGCCATCTTGGTGAATGCTTTCAATGCTCCAATGACACAATAGCAAAATATGTTATCCCTTAGTGTCATACATTTGCTTATTGTTTTGAACGTATTTCAAACATATTCTCAACGCATTTTCCTCCCCCCCGATTTATTCATTGTATGTCCAGCTACCCAGCGCAGACAGTCCAATGCCTCTCAAAGTCCTTTGAAACCCGAAATTCTACTCATACTTTGCCAATGCTGCCGGCGCCATAGATGGTACTCATATTGCATGCCACCCTAGTGGCAAGGATCGCGATGCAACTCGCGATCGTAAAGGCAACTTGACTCAAAACTGTCTTATAGCCTGCTTCATTGTCGCTTGGCACTTCTCTGTCTTCTTGACCATACAAATGCCTTTGCTCTACCTTCTCAACCATACAAACACCTCTGCTCCACTTTTCCCTGAGCTTGTTACATAATCATTATCAGACAGTACAAAGTCTTGCTCCGTCTTGCAGTCACCTCAGTATTGTTTCCATGACATACTGAGGTGAGTAGATACTCCTATGTCCATTCTTCTTGAGTACTGATGTATCACACCAGTGTGTTCTCCGCTAGGTACTTATGAATGTCAGTATTGTTTCCACGACATACTGAATGTGTTCTCCACTAGATCTACTAGTGTCTACAGGTTATGAGCCCTGAGCTCTAAAGGATCTCTGACCCACATGTATGCTAACTAATCTCAAATTCATCTAACGGACGAACCCGCATCTATCATTTCTCTACTATGAAAAAATATGATCATATCATCAAGCTCACTGGCTTGGACGTTTACCCGGCATGGCGCAGGACTGTAGAATTGGCCCTAGCCAGTGAAGGAATATGCAACCACTGTAGCAATGGCACTGACCCTGACGATGTCATAGAATTCGCCAGTGTGATGCCCAAGATCGCTACGCCAGGACAGCCTACGAGCACCGAACTTTCTTCCATCAAAGAGTGGGTGCACGTCGAAGATTCACAGAGATGGAAGTCGCCATTTCGGACCCAGAAGCTGTCTGGATGCTCTTACATGGGCTACCTGAAACCCCCCAGTGGGTCGAAGTCTTACTCTTGGGTTATACAAGGCTCCCTCATTCTCCACTTCTGCCAAGTCCATCACTCCCCTACAAGTCTCGTTCGAAGATGTTGCAACAGCATTCGCTGAAGAAGCTAATCGTCAATGTGGACAGCTAAAGATGGCACGCACCGGACCAGGATCAGAATACACCAACGTTGTAACTCCTACCTCGACTGAACGCAAAGTCAACCCCTCCAATGGCGTGTGGATACACAAGCACAAACCCAAGGGGGTGCCTTGTGACAACCCAGCCTGCACTGGACTACTGCAGTCCATGACACACGATCGCGATCACTGCATGCAATCTGGAGGGGGAATGGAAGGAAAAGCACCCTGGAGCAGTCAGCAACGAGGAGGAGGAGGAAAAAGGAAGGATGTCGCAGCTGTGGTAACTGAGGCGAAGCCTATGCCCTCACCGTCCATGTCATCTCCATCCGCTTCCAACACTCCTTCAACACCTTCAGAAATGACCGCTCTCATCATTACAGCACCTAGTCATGACTATGCATCGGACTGTCGGGAATGCATCGAACGGTAAAGGAATGTGTCGGAAGTGTGTCGGGTTGTTGGTCAAATGAGTGTCGGATGTGTCGGAATGTTTCAAAGAAAAAGAGTGGATAGATATTTTGCAATACAATCAAGTACTACTAATATCCAATGACTTCCATCCTACTACTGAGTAGGGAAAAGTAAGTAATGCAATAGGTAGGAAGTACTAGATATTAAATAGTGTCTATGTAGAATTTCAGAGTGCATTAGGCGAAAACAGTGGCGCATGTGTACTGCACCTTTTGTAGATAACATGTAATAACGCTGTCTGTAATATTCAATAATGCGAAAACGAGTAAATATGCATCAGTGGGGATAGATACAACTGGACAGGGCATAGGGAGGACGAGTCCGATGCGAAAATGTCAGGTCCGAAACTTTCGAGTCGGGGTCTGGGTAAGGATCGGGATCGG